AATTTTTTAATTTAGTAAACGAGATTAGCGTGGCTGCGGTCAACGCACTCATGTTGTTTGCAGTGGACGAGGGCAACAAAGGTCACTTCTGAATTAGTATAAAAGAAAAAATGGTCACTTTCGAATTTTTGACGATAAGTGGCTAAATCCTTTGTATCTAGGGAAAATATAGCGAATCAGGATATCCACTTTAATTTCCAATCAAGGATGCCATTCATGTTTTAGTCTTCCTTTTTTCTCTTTTTTTTTTTTTTTGGTACAAATGTTTAATTTTTCCTAATCATGAATTTCATCTTTGATTTTTTTTTTTTTTTTATCCTATGAGGAAAATTTTGACTCTCACCGTGAAATTTGAGGTCAATGATGCTTGCCCTTAATGGTCCTTTGGTTTTCTGTGATCTTCCCTTTGATCTTTTAGATTATGATTTCTTGTGATTCAAAACTACCATGTTACAGGAAATCCTAAATCTTCCAATTTTGTCCAAATTAATTACATAATTTCATTGATTAATCTTGTTTTTCTTTCAAAGCAACTTTGGAGCTATTTTCTTGAATCCAATTTCTCAAAATAGTGTTAAAGTTTCAAAATTAAAGTTGTGGTCTTTTTTCAAAAATTTATAGTTAAAATTTCAAAAAAGTTTATGAACATTCAATTTGACTAAAATTAAGAAGAATTTGAGAAAATTATCAAAGTTACTTACTTAAAATCAAGTTATGACAAGAGGGAAGAATAAAAAATTGTAAAAGTTTCAAAAGAGAAAAAATTACAAAATTATGTTAGTTCAAAGATTCCCTTAGACATTGCTAGAAAACGATGTATAACCAATAGAGTTATAGTCCATAGACGCAAAACCTATCACTTAGAACAATATATATAATTGACTGCAATACTACTGGTCGTACTATCTCATCGATTTTATCTATTTTTTAATGAAAAAATCGACTAAAACTTAATTTAGGGTTAATTCCTTTGTAGTGGTTTCAACCCCTACCGGGATTTGGTGGAGGCCTATTTTTTTTTTCTCTTACATAAGTAAAATGCATTAGTTAAATTTATCATAAGTGTATTACGGTTTTGCAAAAATCCATGGTAACCTTTATATAAATTGTCATTAATCTTAATTAAATAATAATTATTGAATTAAAATTTAAAATAATTAT